AAAAAAAACACTCCGAATCCCTGAAACCTAAACCACTCCGAATCCCTGAAACCTAAACCCTAAACCCTAAACCTAAACCCAAGATTTGGTTCGGAATCATTTTCCGCCCTCGGGCCGCACGAGGCTTCTGTCCACCAGCAAGGGCTCGGGTATACCAGCCAACCAAGACAGATCGTTCGAGAGTCTGCTGATGAGCCGCCCGTGCAAGCCTCTTGGCCAACTGCATGGCTGCCTCACCCCTGAAACAGTGCGTCATCCGGGGGTTCTGAAGCTCAAACACCGTGTCGATCAAAAGGTGGTGGAATACATGGTGTTTAGGGCGAATTTGCCAAGCCAAACGGCGGTCTCGAATGGCAATCCAAGCGAGCTTCACATATGCTTCCAGATGCTTCAAGCCAGTGTCTCGCAGCTCCAGAGCATCCTTGCTTGGCCCCAAAAGGGATTTCCCCGAAGTCCCCTCAACCCAAATTTTACTAAGGAGACCAAATCATTTCAACAGTTCAACGGTTCCAATTGCTGCCAAACTGCAGTGGTGGAGAGGTAGCGACCAGCTGTCTCCACTTTGCAATACCAGTCATGCAGATGGAAGAGTGCTGCAGCGGCCAGGTGGAGTCGCTCGGTGTTCTTGCTATCAGCAGCAGCACGGGTTTCGTGGGCCAGCCACGACGTCACCACCCGACCATTAAATGCCTTTCAGGGAATAAGCAGCCCAAGCAGGCAAAGGAATACGAAACCCACCTCTCGCTGGGTGAAGCTTAATTAGTGAGTTTATATTAATAAGAAACACATAAAGCCCAAAGACCCGAGAAGATAAGGGCCTTCGTCTGGAAGTAGCAAAATTCCTCGCCCTTGGTCACCAGCATGTAGGGCTTGAAGGCACTCTGACTGCAGTGGATATTGCTCGCCTTGCACCAGTTCTTGAACATTGCAAAAGCTGCCACGAAGCGACTTTGCTCAGATGTTCCGGGGAAATGATCATGAAGCAAAAGCTCATGGAAGGCTGAGCCATTAGCGTGTAATCCACATCCAAGGTGCAGGGTGTGCATTGCACACCATCGCAGCATGCGATAGTTGAATCCAATCGTATGCATCATGGCATTAGGGCACCTCGTCCTCGGCAGTTGTTGCAAAACGAAGTCCTCGTGGGTTCTGACAGTAGAAAGCCACGAGGGAGTTGCAGTAAAGTCGTGATAGAGGGGTGCTTTCGATTTGGAGGCAGCACACATGTGACATATACCATCGGCCATCCAATTAGACTGTAAGCCCCAGCACTGGAAGTGCCATTTCCAGTCCCCTCTAAGCTCCCAAAGCCTGCAGCGGAAGCCCAAATCACCCGATGCAGCGGATGGGCTGGCCCGACTGTCCCACGGCTGGCCATTGACGTCTCGGGTCGGCGTCTTGCCGAGATAGCCTCGGTATTGGGGATTAGGACTTGAGGGTATGAGGGCTTATAAGGCCTAGGGTTATAAGGGCTATAAGGGCTCAGTGCAATTAGGGTTCAGGCTTTGGTCGGGTTGGCGGTTTGGTGCAGTTTTAAATAACTGACAACAGTAATCCAATTGGCCATCAAGCAGCAACAGTTCAAAGACCAACACAAGAAGGCCCAAACGGGCTCCAGGCAGTCCATGCTTTCCATACGGTCAGTTCGCAAAGCAAAAACAGGATAGCGAGTGCCCCAGACAGAAGTTTTCTGATCATCATACAGCGGGAAACCTGGGATCTGCACACTGATAGGCCCCTGAACCCTACATATTACAAAAGCGGGTTTTGAGTTTAGGGTTTAGGGTTTATGGGTTATAATTGGGCAAACCCTAGAAGTAGAAAATTCCAGACCCACAACCTAATATAATAAACCAGTGAGCTAGAAGGTTATACTTTGGGTGTGCGAGGCACTAATGTATATGACCAGGATCTTTTGCTTGGTCTGGGTGTACTCAGCTTCGTCGCCGTAAACACAGACAGGGTGCACAGTAAAACCATCCTTGAAGTTCCGGCAGTTTGAAACACCCGGAGTGGCGACGGTAGAATGATGCTCCCAGAACTTTGTTGCAGCTGTGTCGTCCAGCACCAAGAGTTGATTGCTTAAGAGCCAGGGCACCAGCTCGTGAGGTGCAATGATTGGCACTGCAGTAGGCACAACATTGTCCCCGGCTTTGTTTCTCAAAGCAATCTTCACGTGGTGCAAGTGGGGTTCCTTGAGGGGTTATTGCGGTTATGGAGGTCTAGGCCGTTCTCTAGAGATTAATAAGGTTACAATGCGATGAATTTTGGAACCCGGGCCTTTGCACCCAATATAGGCTGTGAAGCTCTTTGCATGTCTCGTTTGACATTGCTCAGAAACTTCCCAGTCGCACCAGCCTTGGCCAGCCTCTGCACATCCGTCGGCGCTTTGCCCCCCAGGTCCTGGGCCACTGGAAAGCCCACAGCAAGCCCAAGCTTGCAATCACGAACCCGCAATAAATTCCCTTATTCTTATATACATAGGAACCACGGCCCAGGGTGGGCAATTCAAGTTGACCCCGTAGCATTCCAAATTGTTTATTGGGGTTTAGGGGTTGTTAAAAATAAGTATATAATTTAATTTACATAGGACCCACGGCCCAGGGTTGGCAATTCAACTTGACCCCGTAGCATTCGAATTCGTTTCTTGGTGTTTAGGGGTTTAGGGGTTTATTAGGTTTTAGGGGTTTCAGGCGTTTAGGGGCTTAGGGTATTATAGGCTTTAGGGTTTAGCTGCGGTCTTGCCTGGGTTGTAGGGATGAAGCTGCGTAGATCCAGGGTCCGATTCGGTTTCAAGGGTATTCTGAAAGCAATAGGGATCCTATGTGATTTGACAGTGATAAAGATTACTACTCATGAGCTTCGAAGTCTCCTCCACCACACATTGTGCCACATCTTGAGCAGCTGAGGAGCTCCACTCCTGGCTGCATGCTGCAAGGATGGCTACATCATTACATGCTCCCTGGCTGCTTCGTGTTCTTTCTTTAATATAAACAAGCTTTGTAAGAATAGTCAAGCATCGGCAGCCCCCACTCCAGCAAGCAACCGTCGAGCCAGCGAACTCGTCACATCATCATCACCTGCGTGGGCGAAGTGGGGCTTTGGGGTTTTGGTGGGTTTAGGGTTTCTGTATGTATGGGAAGAAAGCCTTGGGATGCGGGGGAATCTTCACTGGCATTCGACTTATTTTAGACATGTCTGAAGTTAGTTTTGGGGTTTTGAAAGGTTTCGGCGAGGGAACAGAGGCTCGGGATTTTGAGGGTTTCGGCGAGCTACACAGGCTTCGGATTTAAAGGGCTTTCGGCGAGGAAACAGAGGCTTGGGATTTCGGTCAGGGAACAGAGGGTCGGGATTTTGAGGGTTTCGGCGAGCTACACAGGCTT